GTACTACTCACTCGTCGCTGGGGAGAAAACCCTGCTCCTCCTCGGCTGCGACGTTGGACGCATGATCTGCAACGGCTGCAGTGGTCGCGACCCGAGCAACCAACTCGGAAAGCAGATCACTCCCCAGCTGATTGATGACCTCATCAAGGACATCAGCGTGACGTATGTCAGCTGGGGTGGGGCAGTCACGGGCAAGATGACCCGGACTGCCGCAGCGGAAGCAGGTGCGTCGAATGTCACCACGGAGCCGGGCCCGGCCTACCTCCATGGGAATTGGATGGGCGACAGGGGCGGGCGCCGGGCGGGCAGCGAGGGCCGGTGCTACAGCAGGGAGCACTGGGGCACGAGGACGGGGGGCAACAGCAGGCGCTGCGTGGCCTCGAGAAGCTCTGGCAGCAAGTTCCGCATTGTACTGCCGGAACGCACGGACACGCCATTCGGCGTAGTCGGTGAGGCTGGGAGGGTTACCAGAGGTGGTGATGGCTTGGTTGATCCTCGGGTCCAAGCCCGTCCTATATTTGGTCACTTTGACCAAGTTGTCGGTATAACCAGCGAGGTCAAGGAGGTCGTCGTACTCGTCCGTGTACTTGAATACGTCGCGGGAGCCCATATAATACTGATGGGTTTCCAATCACGGCAAGGCGTGGTCTTGCTCGTTCTCCTCGACGAATCAGAGCTTGAACTCGGTGACGAACAAAGCCCAAGTGGGGAACGGGAACGGGGTGCGCTCGGACATGCGCTCGGACCAGGAGGCCGCCGAGTCCTTGGACATGTAGGAGAGGGCAAAGCGGACTACCTTCTCCTCAGCGACTACCCCATTCACGAAGAACGCCTCGGGAAGCAGTCGCCAGTACTGCTTCACCAAGTGCAAGAAGCTCTTGCCCAAGGTGCGATCCCCATCGAACAAGAAGGGGGGGTTGGGACGGATGAGGGGGCGCGCAGTGTTCGACTGCGAGCCAGCAGAAACACCTGGACCCACTGCCGGAGCTGGTGCAGGGGCAGGGGCAGGGGGTTGTGGTTGGTTGAGGAGCCGATTGAGTACGGCTTCGATGTTCTGGATGCTGGTCTCCAGGGCGGACAGTCGATGCTGGGAGTTGTCGTCTTCCATGCTGGTCGAGTGTGCCTGTGGAGGGGAGGAGGGGGCAAGAAAAGAGGTGACGGATTGGCGGTCTTGGTCGCTCGTCGACTTGTCTCTGCTGTTACTGTTGGCGTCGAACCTTGCAATCTTGACCAGTTATCCCTAGGAACACGGTTTCTGCTGTAAGGGCAACCTCGAGACCCAATCTCAGAGTTCTGGCAAGGGAGAATCCAAAGTGTCAATAGTGGTAGCTAGGTACAAGACCGGCATACCTGGCAAGGGAGAATCCAAAGAGAAACCGTGTTGGGGATTCTCCTTGCCAGGCGCCACTATTTATATGATACAAGAACAATAGAGCGCGCAGCGACAAGCAAAGAACAATGGGAACAATAAGTACAATGGCCATCGGAGAACAATAGGAAACTGAGACAGTGGGAACGATGGGGCAGCTGACCATGTGCCCATCAGAGAGAAGCGCTTGGTGCAGCAGTCCGGGCCGCGGCGCGTGACAGCTGACAGGTCACGCGAGCGCGATCACATGCCTGATCGAAGGTAGAGCGGTCCGAAGCGGGGGTTCCCCTGACAACATGCTGTGAAGCAGCCACTATCGGGATGGATCCCAATGACTCATCAATAGCGCGTCATTTGTGATGCTAAAAATCTTGCACATTTCGTAGTACTGAAACGCATTGGAAATCCATTTCTCAATGAAACCAAAACAGTAGCTAGATAGTATAAAAGCAGAGTGCCTCCTGCTATAAGGGTGACGAGCAGTGACGCGCCCTAGCCCTGAAATCAATCGATCACGTGCACTGAAAGATCTAGTGGATTTGTCAGCGAGCTCATCAAGGTGGTTGCACGTGATCATTCTGATCATCACTGTATGCCTCCGGCGGGGTCCTATTTCGGAGTTCGTCTCCTTGTTGTGCTCACAGGACTCATTCATTTCGGCGAAATTCAGCACTGACTAAAGAAATAAATTAACATAGAGCTCAATGGTCACCATATCAACAGGAGGTTCAAGTTACTTATCTCCTTTGGATTTGATTCATACTTAGTATAAAAAACCTGTAGTACAGTACAAGAAAAACAAGAAATCTTCTTCACCCACTCTCTAGAGTCTAAAGCAACCTCCCAGTGCTTTCTATCTCACTTTCTCAGCGCCCGCTTCTGCATTATTTCCCCCAACCTCGCCCCCGAAACTCCCATTTTGTGCTACAGTCTTACATACACCCATAGTGCTAGGATTTAGTCAAATCTATGGCTGTAGCCATAAAAATTGCATTCAAATCTATGGCTGTAGCCATAGCATGGATACAGTCATAGCTTTGACTAATACTGCTATGGCTACAGCCATAGCGTGGCAGGCCTTTGGTCCTGTTGCTTTTCTCGGCATCACCATGGCATGTGCAAGATCATCATTGCCATCAGCACCACCATGATCCCTCAACATAAAGTGTTGATCGGCCTTACTGTCTTCAACAAGCCGCGCCCCTCTGGGCGCGGAGGTTAGTGGTTCAGGCTAGGGTTTGGGTTTGGGTTAAAGGTTAGTCCCCAGAGACGTCATTTTTTCTCAGTTATGGCTGGGGCAAGGTAGCAAAAAAAAAGCCTATTACAGGCTCTGTAAGGGTTGGTTAGCGTAAGAAATATATTTATTGTCAGTTAGGGTTGGGGCAAGGGAGCAAAAAAAAAAATCCTGTTAGAGGCCTATTAGGGTTGGTTGGGGCAAGAAATATGTTTATTGGGTGATAAGGGGTTGGTATAACCAGTACTAGGATAAAGCTTTCCCTCCACTTAGGGTAAGCCGCTTGCGGGTTACCCTAAGTTGAGGGAAATTGCCACATGTTCAACAGTGGTTTAGCTCAGTATGATAATGCATTGGTTTAACTTACATTTTTAGAAGGTCAGCCGTTCAATCCTGACTGAAACCACTGCCTAGCTGTTGGGTGTCAATCACAATCACAGGTTGTCGATCATAATGATCGTTGTTCACATCAGCACCGCCACGCCCTATGGCTACAGCCATAGATTTGAATGCAATTTCTATAGCTACAGCCAAACGGATTTGACTAAATCCTAGGGCTATGGCTCTTACATATTGGTTCCCCTCGTCGTTCTATTGTCTCATCATCCCATTGCTCGCCCCCATCGTCGTCCTATCGTCCTAGATTTGTCCTCCGTCCCCCCTTTTTGCTCACCACGGCCCCTGCTCATTTCAGTTGAGCTCATTTCCTCGAGCCTGACCTTGTTTAGGATCAGAATCCCACACACAATACTGCACAAGCCAGAGCCGCAGCCCACTCCCCTCGACCTCCGACTAGTCCCTTGTCTCTCCCCGTACAGCTGCGCGCTCATACCCTCTGTAGGCGTGTCAAGGGATATATTACCTTTTACTTGAATCCACTATGGTGCACGCAGCTTAGTCACCATCAAAAGTGCACTAGCATTCAAATCGGGTCAGGCCAAACCAAAATTTTGACTGTTACATCTGGGTCTCTGAGCACGACGCTCTGAAGGAGAAGATGTCAAAGGCTCTTATTTCCGGCTCGGCAGATGATCAGACACTGGGAGCACCGTATGATACAGTGGATGGACACATAGCAGTGTGGATTGGAGACTAGGGGACTTGCAGTTTGAGGTGCAAAAATTCAACTTGACCAAATACACATTGCACCGGTGGATCTCAGAATGCGCCGCAAGGGCTTTCGATATATGATACATTTGTTTTTGTAGGCTACGCCGAATTGGGGGATGTCAAAATCCCATTACTCACTCAGTTGGACAGCTATGGGCAATCCCTCTTGAGAGATCACTCCTCTCATTAAAAGGAAGTGTTTTTCAAGAGCAAAAAAAATCGGGCTAGCGGTACAGGTGTCTATAGTGTCTTTGCGTTCCTAGAGACCCAAAGGTTCTGAATGTCTCTCAGTAATTTAATTTTATTGGGTATTGTTTGACCGATAATAGAGTTACTGGGGTATTTGGACTCGAAGTGCGTCAATTTCTATAATTCAAAGAATTACTTTTTCGAGACAATGTGAGACAATGTAAAGGGTTGAATACTCTAGCCGGAGCGAGATCGAGGCAGCAGTGAGCTCAGAGATGCCAAAATGAAAAAAAGAATGCTGATTTTGAGCACAGAACATAGAGCTTTTACAAAATGAGTCTAGAGATAAGACCAGTATTGAATTAAATGTAAAACAGTCAGTACGTCAGCAGGGATGATGAGCGCAGCACGAAGCGACTGCCAGTTGGGGAAATAGGGCCAAGGGGAGTTGTCGAGGTGGAGAGAAATAGAGCAGCCAAAGTGGAAATTTGAGCTATAGCACGGCCCAAGCACATCCAGAACTAGAACGTTAATGTCTTGAAGTGTCAGAGGATGGCTAATCCCGAGCTCACAGTCTAGGGTCAAGCAGAACGACAGCGAAAGGAAAGAGAGCATGAGGGATTTGATTGTTGATCGCATCAGCCCTGCGTCGAATTGTGTCTGTCCCCGATGGTCATATCGCGTTTTTCGTGGGTAGAAACATGTGCAAAGCGTTTCAGGGGAATGGTTACATCTTACAGCATGTATATACTTAATTACAGATGCCCTTGCTCCAAAGTTGCTTGAGCTTGTACCGTAGCATACGTGATCCTTGGATGCATGAGCAGGCAGTGTTTGGGGTCTGAGAAATCTGAATATGATAAGATCAACTGGGTGACTTTCCGTAACATAGATGCATATACATATCCCATATCACGGTGCCAAATGATCTCGCTTACCGTTATGGGATATGTTTATGTCAAAAGCTTTATCCGCAACACATTTTATCATTTCTCGGCCTTTACAAGTTGACATCTGTCTATTGCGGCTCTCAGAACCGAATGACTGATCACGTCATTTGAACTCTTCATGCACCACGACGATAACAACGACTACGGCATGTACGACGACCTCGACAACAACGGTCCCAGTGAGGATGACGACGAGAGCGATACCGAGTTTCAGCGCAGGCTAATGGAGCTCTCAGAGGTTGAGTGCGGAGGAGTGATGACGGGAACCCAGCGGACTTAGCACGGGCCTGACGTCAAAGGCGTGATGGACACCTTCCTCTTTCGGTTTTTGAAGCTGTTTTGTGTCTGTGTAGGGGGTCGGGAGGCCTTACACAGATAGCTATCTATTCGTAGTCTAGGAAAGGGCTTAAGCGAGAGGTTGACACTCCGGGGTCCCGATCGACACCCCGGCATCTCGGCAAGTGCGTTTATGTAGCCTTGATTTATGCGAAAACGCTTACGGAAAGTCACCCACTATCAATCACACGGAACACGAACCTTTGAGATCGGGATGCTCGCTTATCAGCATATAGTTCCGGGCCTCCATAGATGACGCACTATTGGCTCGCAATCACGAAGCGAGTACAAAGCTTCGCCTCCACTCCTCTGCCGCTGCCTCTACTGAGGCCAGAGCCGCGCAACCAGACACCAAAGAAATGATTAGCCTGCCACTCTCCGCCGACGAGCGGGCGCAGTACAAGCCCAGTGAGAGACGAAGCTGGCTGCGGCGCATCCTACTTCTACCGCTCGCCGCGGGCGTCGTATCCCTCGTCCTCCTCATCACACCGCGCCCCGTACTCCTCCTCCATCCGAGTCCACTTCACTACGCCGCACACGCCCCGAGCGTGACGTGCCCGGTGCAGCCCTCCGCACTGATCCCCGCGCTCGCGTTCGACCCCCACGACACTGCCGTGTACACCGAGCGCCTGCGGGGCGCCGTGCGCGTCAAGACGGAGACGTTCGATGGCGCACCGACCGTGGGCTCGGATCCGTGGTTCGACAAGTTCTTCAAGTTCGAGGCGTACTTGCGCGCGACGTTCCCCGATGTGTGAGTCGTGTGATGCTTTAGTCGAGTGGAAGGGCTTATCGTCGGCGTGGAGATTTGCAGCGCTGAAGCTGGAGAAATTTGCAACCCATGGGTTGCTCTTCACCTGGAAGGGGAGCGATGCTGGTCTGGCCCCGATCGGTGTGTGCTTCCTTTGTTTCTGTCTCTTTCGCTCACTTTGACATGCCATCCATGCAGTTCTTATGGCACACCAAGATACGGTTCCAGTACCCGCCGACACCGTTGACCGTTGGACCCATCCGCCTTTCGACGCTGTTCTGGACAAGGACGGGTGGATCTGGGGCCGTGGTGCGGGTGACTGTAAGAATCTGCTGTGCGTGGGAGATCTGCAGACAGAATGCGTCCTGATCTTTGTCGCAGCATCGCCGAATTGTCCGCCATCTCCGAGCTCCTGAAGGCCGGCTTCAAGCCTGCTCGAACTGTGCATGTCGCATTTGGATTCGACGAGGAGGGAGGACAAGTGGTGAGTGCATCGCTCATCGACCGCTCCTGTGCATTGCTCAAGCGATGTGCAGCGCTCAGCCCGAGCTTTCGCTGCATATCTCGAAGGGCTATACGGAACTGGAGACGACAAGGTGTTCCTATTGTGCGCTCTGTGCCTTCCTCCACACCCCTTTCTGTCGTAATGCTGCCCAGGATCGACGAGGGCGGTGGTATCATGGAAGACTATCACGGAAAGACCTGGATCGCACCTTCCATGGGCGAGAAAGGGAGCACTAACGTGCAGCTCAGCGTCAATGTGCCGGGCGGCCACTCGAGCATCCCGCCAGCGCACACTGCCATCGGCATCCTCTCTGCGCTCATCGCCACGCTCGAAGCCAGTCCGCCTGCGCTGAATCTCGAGCCTGGAAACCCGTTTGCGCAGTTCGTGCTGTGTCTTGCCGAATACGGTACGTGTTCAGAGACGTTCCAAGATTGTCCTGGAGGGTGTTTATCCGCTACTCCAGGAACGATCGATCCTGAACTCCGGGATCTGCTGGCGGACGAGTCAACGTGGCATGAGGCAGCTCAGTGGCTTGCTGAGAGGGACCTGGGCGATGCCGCGTGAGTCGTTTACCGTTCTTCTACATCCGAGACAGCGACAGCTTATCTTTTCAGCCGGCTTTCGACCACCCAAGCCGTTGATATCATCGGCGGAGGCGTCAAAGTGAATGCACTGCCAGAAGAGGCACATGTGATTGTGAATCATCGTGTTGCCAGCGGTGACTCTGTACGAGGGTTCGCTCTTTTTCGCTCTCGTCTATCATCAAACTGACGCTGCCGGCAGTGTTCAGGATCGATACATCGATCTGCTGACACCGGTGGCAGAGGAATATGATGTCGCCGTTGTTGGTCAGTGTTCATCTCTATCGCCACTCCCTCCGCTCATTCTAGTCTAGGATTCGACGAAGAACCCGCCGCTAACCTGACGCGCTACGTCAAGTTTTCTGCCCCGTCCGGAGTCAATGCCTCGCAAGTGACGCCGGCTAGCGGAGACGCATGGAGGTGCGCGTTCATAGTTGTCAATTTCACCGTCCACTAATTCGCGGTCACAGCGTATTCGCCGGTACCGCTCTCCATCTGTACCCCGATTCGGTCGTCGCCCCCTACCTTTCGACTGGAGGGACTGATACCAGGTCGTACGTTAATCTGACTAGGGCGATATACCGATTCCAGGCTGTCGACGGGAGCCAGCGTTACAACATACACACCGTCGACGAGAGAGTGCATGTCGATGGGCACATGAACGCGATCCGCTTCATTCATAGTCTCATCCAGAACGCGGATCAGTGGAGATAATATGTGCTAGGTATTCACAGGATCCCGCCGCGTGTCGTAAAACTAGCCAGAGGACCACAGATCTTTGTGTACGATCTTTGTGTACCACACGTCGACAGCTGACAGCGGAGGATAATTGGAGATACGTTCATTTACTAGCAGAATTTTCTCGAGAGTGTGACTCCGCCGCCTTATTCATGGATGTGGATGCTTCGACCAACGGAAAGTGGCATCAGTGATGGTTTCAGCGTTGCATCGATACCATTCACTGGCGACTACTGCGAAGAAAAATTCTCCATCTGGGAAGAGAATACTCTCAGAGATATACTGACCTACTTTCGACGAGCCTGCTGTCTCTTTCGAAATCTTGACTGACCCTCGTGCGCCTCAATTAACAGACCGCTCCGGGCGGCGCGGATATCCGGTACCGATCACATGAAAAATCGCATCAGATCGATTTGTCAGCCTGCGTGCTAGGCCTCAAGACGACCGACCACCACCATGATCCGCTTTATCCTCGTCCAAGTCCGCACTCTCACTCCGCTCCCAGACTCCCGCACATTTGCTCAACTGCTGTCTGGATAGAACCGACAAGGCAAGACCCGGCTGTCGAAATGGTACGGGATGTACGAGGATGAGGAGAAGGTGCGGCTCCACTCGCACATAGCCCGCGCCCGGCCGATTGACAGCGCCCTTTCGGGTCCGCGCACAGGTCAGGCTAAGGGGCGATGTGCACCGTCTCGTCTCGGGCAGGGATCACCGCTACCAGTCGAATTTCGCGGAGGTGCGTGGGCCATCGCCCTCTGACGTGTACCCGTCATACAGTATAACGGTATTCTAGTTCCGGAATCACAAGATCGTGTACCGGCGCTACGCCGGGCTGTTCTTCTGCGTGTGTGTGGACTCGAACGACAACGAGCTAGCATACCTGGAGGCGATCCACTTCTTCGTCGAGGTCTTGGGTGCGTCGCGCGCGCACGGGAGGAAAGGGGGACTGTTGGCTGGAGCATTCTGACTGGGCTTCTTAGATACGTTCTTCGATAACGTGACGGAACTCGACCTTGTGTTCAACTTCTACAAGGTGCGTCGCGCGCGCACCGCCGTCTCCTATCGGATCGCACGCTCAGTGACGCCCAGGTGTACGCGATCCTCGACGAGGTGTTCCTAGCGGGCGAGATCGAGGAGACGAGCAAGGAGGTTGTGTTGGAGCGGTTGGAGGTTCTGGAAAAGCTGGAATAGAACATTCATACCGTACCGTGCGTCCCGGTCACTGATGTGCCCCGCCATGAACTTACCCCCCATTTCACCAGCTACGGCATACTGTATCCAGCACATATATCGCTAATTCTAGCAATGTGGCACTTCATCAGAGTGAGGAAGATAAGGGCGAAGAACAAAGGCATCATCCAGAAGTACATCGAGTTCCAGATCGAACTGCCGACATACGGCAAAATGACAACTGCTTTGTCACAGCTTCCAACAATTCAATAGAGAAGGGTGGGGAGCAACCTATCATCGATCGCAGTCGTTGCGCAGGACCTCAGCTCGTTACCAGGGTCCAAAAGAATAGAATGCGCGCATCGTGTTCGTTCGTCTACCTCACCGCTGATGACCTGATGATGAAGCAATGACCGCCACGGGCGCCGAGGACATAGGATCCTCCATGTCCTCTGTGACCCTTCGATGGTTTCGCGGCTACAGAGCTCCACTGAGCCTCGATTACCCTGGAGACCGAGTTCCTCGGGGAGTCGGGCAGGCTGGGTTCTCAGGCGATAAGCGTGAAGCTATCGAAGCCTCGAAGTCAACCTGCAGAAGCCGACAAATCGCTCGATAAGATAGTCTCACGGGCCCAGAAGAGGGTCGGATGGAAGAGAACCTCGGGGTACCCCAGTCCATTCCATGGGGTCTTATGAATAGTTGCCGGTTTAGTCCCCTCGCATACTAGCTTGGGGAGGCTCGGGCTGTATCGCGATGCAATGCATATTCTCGGGCGTGAAAGCTTGCCATCCAGATGTAGATCGCGCAGATGCAGCCAGCGGCGCAGTCCGGAAACAGACTCTGACTGAATATATGTTGTGCTAAAAACAAATGGGGCGCATCACGCCTGCGGCGAAGCTTCGTCCGAGACAGGTTGGTTTCACACACTCGGGCGCATCACCGATTTAGTGGTGAATGTTCTCCCGTGACGTCTGCTCGCCGACTTGCGCATCGGGAGAAGCAGTTCAATTAGGAAATCAACTCAGTCCCATCCATTCCAGTCATAGAGTTCCAGAAACATCTCATCATAGCATTCACCCCTCTCAGAAGGCGGCAACAGCATCCACGGTCGATGCCTCCCCTAGTACGATCAGACTGTTAGACTCCGATGCAGAGTTCCAAAGGAAAATCAAGCTAGAACGAGCAAACTTTGTGATCGATTGAATTGGCAGAAATATTATTTAAACATAAATACACGACAAGTCCTGGTTTACAGTAAGTACGATCCCTGAGAGCTAGAATAAACCCAGATAAGCCACACGGCTACGGCGAGGGCGACTCTGTCCCCGCAAACGCCTGAGCCTGCACCCGATAGAGAGATGCATACTCGCCATCACGCGCCATCAACTGGTCATGCGTGCCTGTCTCGACGACCCGCCCGTCCTTCATGCATCTACAGGGAGATCGCAATGAGACAAGGAGAAAAAATAGAGAAAAAGGGGGCAGGACGCACATCACGACATCTGCGTTTCTCGTCAGATGGCCGAAACGGTGCGTTACACAGACGATCGTCTTGCCGCGTCCAGCGCGTCGGAGGTGCTTGAACAGATCGTACTCGCATTTTGCGTCCAGGGCGCTGGACGGCTCGTCGACGGCGACGAGCTTAATCTTTTCTGAGCGGAGTCGCATGAAGATCCGCGAGGCGACCAGTCGCTGTCGCTCGCCTCCTGCACGCGCGTTGATTGGGTGGTGCGAGGATCAGCGAATGAGAGGACTCACCAGAGACATCGACCGTTTTTTCCAAATTCGTCAAGTATGATCCCAGGCCCGAATGGGAATCATGATTGATCTGATAGCCATGCGATGTCGAGGGCGGCTCGAGCGTCGTGTGCAGGCCGTGCTTGAACTTACTCAGCACGTCCACGGCGCACCCGTTCCGGGCTGCATCGATCACCGCGTCCTCGTCGTCCATGGTCTCGACACGGCCCAGGCCGATGTTGTCTGCGATCGAGAGCGGGTACATCCGGTATGTCTGCATCAGGGTGGCATGTGCTTCTCGCAGATCAGAAAGGCGGTACTTCTGGACCGGGGTTCCGTCGACGAGGATAGTGCCGGAGACAGGATCGAAGAGGCGAGTGAGAAGCTTCACGGCGGTGGACTTGCCGCTTCCGTTCGTGCCGACGATGACCGCTAGACTGCCCGCCGGGATACGAAACGAGACATCGACTAGGGCGGGTCTGATTGACTTGGTGCCGGCATAGGCAAATGTCACGTTCCTGGAACCGGTCAGAAACGGCCCTGGGAGGAGCAGATGAAATGAAACGAAGAGTCAACCCCACCTGAATTCGACGTCCATTCCCTCCGAAGAGTGGCGCTCCGCGCCGGGATACGCCAACTCGCCGTCGACGAGTTCATTCCGGACGTCCGCCGCCTCGTACAACGCCGCGATGTCCCTGAGTGCCTTTCCGATTTGCCGCAAATCGTACATGAGCAGCTCGAGGGAGTAGCTCAGGCTCGTCGCATACTGCTGCATGATCGCGATCGAAGTCATCGAGACACTCCGCGGCTGCATGACCGCGGAGAATGCCCAGAAAAGCTGCAATGCCATTCAGTCCCATTGTAGCCGTAACCTTGCAGGCGTTTTTCACACTCGGGGGCTTTAAGACTCACAGTAGGCAGTTCACCAGCCCATTCACGGGAGATGTTCGCAATGGGGGTCGGCCGACGGTCGTGCAGGTGATAGACATCCTCTGCGGCCGCAGATCCGAGAATGTTTCGTGCTTTCTTGTACTCTGGCACAGCGGAACCATCCGAATCAGCAGCTGCAGATCGGCGCAATACCGGGAATACCCACCTCCCCATATCCAATCCACCAGGTTCTCAGAGATGATCTGCTCACGGAAGGGCAGCGCAGCCATCGACTTGAGCGCGCGCATGCGGATGTAATCTTCGTTATCGGAGAACACGATGTGCGCTGCGATCGATGCCAATCAGCGTCAAGAATCAACAGTCAGGGCAGGGGAAACTCGCGTACGCTTGAGGACGAGATTGCGGGTGGTGAGGAAGCTGGCGATGGGTGACGCGAGGATGGCAATTGAGAAGGCGATTCCCCCGCACTCCTGCGATGAAATGAAGAGCAGTTGGATCACCAGACGCAGAATCCGCTGCGACGAGTATAGCAAAGTCTCGTAGGCCCTCCATCCATTCTCCGCATCGGGTTCACCCTTGTGTTCATTTGCTGTCACACGGTATTGAGCAAGATTTGTGGGAAGATGAAGAGGGGTGATCCTCACCAAGTGAGGTGGGAAGGTCTCGGCGCAGACTAGCTATTCGGGTGTAAATGACACAATGGACGATCGACCGAGCGGCGTGACTCACCTTGGAGCAGAGTATCCTCGAAATGGATGTCCACTTTAGACTTGAGAACGGGCAGAATGCAATCTCTGATGGAGGGATAAACTCATGAACCGCGCGGACCGAAATGGGGTGCTGTGCGCCGGCTTACCTCGCCCACTTCATTACGGCGCTCAAAGTGACACCCGCGACGCGCAGCGCAACCGCTGTCCCGATGGCTCGCAGGTCGGGCTTGCCGGTCCTGAGCCCAAGCTCAATCTATATCGGAGCATCGCAGCGGGTCAACAGCCGGCAACCCCACATCTGACGGGGGGTTACGTACGCTCTGCAGGACTCTCGTCGACGAATACAGCATGACCACGGTTTCCAGACCACCCCAGACCCGGAGGAGGATGTAAACGAGCATGAGATGCGGGCAGAGCGCGTATATTTCGAGGAAGAAGCGGACGAGCATGGGGATCGCAGCGATGACGTCACGTATTTTATTGATTCCGGGAAGGTGCAGCAGGCTCGACGCGTCGCCCGCGTCCTTCTCCATGACCAGCCGCCACACCCCGAGCTTGAGTGACGTGTAGAGCTCGGGGGGCAGGAACCGGTTGAGGTCGAGGTCGAGGTCGCCGCTGCTCTTTTCGTTGCGGATGCCGAGACCCATGGCGAACTTGGCAAGGGCAGGGGAGGGAAGGGGAGACGTGATATGATAGGGAACGCGTTCTTGACCGCGAAGAGAGGCCAGCCAATCCGAACTGAAAACCGAGGATGTTCCTCTCGCTGTCTTTATATATGTATTTCCGGGGCCCGTGGGCCATATCGAAACAACAACTCTGTCGTCCCTCGGTTTCGAACTCAGCATCGCATCGGGTGCGCTGCAAACTCCGCTGTCAACCCTGATTCGCGAGGCCCTCTTCCACAAAGGAGAGCTTATAGCACGCATGGCTTCCACTTTGGCGCGGGCAGGGTACGACGTCCTTCCGCACGCGCCGCTTGTTCCAGTGACGCCCCAAATCCATGGGGCTGCCTGAAACAAGCTTGGGCACGCATATGAGCCTGTAGCCTCAAATGAGTAATCGCGCAGCAAAACCGTAACAGCACTCACCCTGGGAAAAAGACGCCCCAGTTGGCAGGGGACAATAGGTCACGGTCACTGACGGGCATTTTGGGGTTCATCTGTGGGGGTCTGATGCATGCGGCTTGTTGTGGGCGAAGCTGATCCATCCCGGGCTTAGAACCCCCGCGCGCGCCCAGCGATCTGTCTCCCGCTGATAAGCTCCTGATGGCCTTCGGCTGCTTCCGCCGCCCCGGTGTGAAAGAAACGAGCACTGCTATTGTCTCCGAAAGGCTGCAAGGGCTGAAACTCGTTGCACCTCTGAATGGATGTTTGTCTGTCTCCCCGGGTCATCTCTCTCTCACTTTCTCTACGGCCCGTTCACTCGCTCATCAGGCGAGGGCAATTTCGTGGCGTTGTGTGATAGGGTCGATGCAAACGAATGTCTGTTTTGGCCCTTGGCAGGGTAGGGAACGTGTGAGATGCACAGAACCTGTGCATCCAGACGTTCGCACTGAACGAGGCTCGAGCTCCTTGCGCCGAAGAAAGAAGACGGACGAAGAAAACGGCGCACACGTGCTGATCGAACGTCGCTCGCGTACGGTCACACAACGTGCCGTGACATCGGAGTGAGCGCGCTTCCGTCAGCAGGCTGCGAGATCACGCCCAATGCAGTAAGGCGAGCCCCCGAGAGCGCGAGAAATGAAAGTTTCGGCTACTCAGACGGCGAAGAGTCACCACGTCTTCGCTCGTCAGAATCAGTGGCGGCCCGAACTCTACCCCAGTCAGGCGTAATCCGGATCCGGCACCTCGATCATATCTCCCGGAAATCGCCGAAGCCTCTCCGTTTTTTTCCAGTCATGGCCTCCGCACCGTTCATTGTCTTCGGGTATGGATCGCTCATATTCAAGGTCTGTAAGATCCGCCGTCCACACGAGAACTTGGCCTGAAAACGCTGCTGCTCAGCCTCCGCCGCATGCCGTAAGCAGAGGTCTGCTTGGGCTCAGATTACCTTCAAGGCGGCTGCTGAGGGGATCTAGAGCCGGGATTCCTCAAAGGATACGTGCGCCGGTTTGCACAGGAGTCGCACGACCATCGGGGCACTCCCGAAGTTTGTCTTCGAGCTGTTTTTGACACTGTTACTGCGATGCTCATCCGGCACTAGAACCCTGGGCGGGTCGTGACACTGGTCCACAAGGAGGACTGGGATCTGTTCTCTCAAGCCGTGAGTGGTATGCGCTCCTTCTGGTGTCTGCCTTTCCTATGATTTCGTCAGGATCCGTTCCCTGACGAGGACATCGTATGGGGTGGGGTGACTACTCTATCGCGCAATTCGTCGTATGAACGTTGGCGTCAGGCGTTGCGTACACGATTGATCCAGAACACGTAGATGAAGTTCGCGCATATCTCGGTAAGAGCTCCTGGTGCTGCTGCTGTGCATTTCTTCTCTGACCGTTTCTGTCTGCTAGATTACCGTGAGAAGGTTCGCGCTCTTCTCGAGTCGATTGGAGGACCAGCGCCGACCCAGTAGGCAGGATGGATACACGATGGAGACTATACCAATCTACGGGGTCGTCAACGGAGTGGATGCAGTGGTAATTCCCAAGGTGCGCGCAGATCCATGCATCCGTCCAAGCATATCTCTCGATCTGATGACGTTCTCCTTTAGGCCTATGTACGTTCCCTGCCGCGCCCAATTTGTGATTATGGAAACTCATGTTGAGGTGTGAGTGCTATGTCGGGCGCCGAGACAATCCTTCGTTCAGTGAGCAGCTGAGTTTGCTTGTTTTCTTTGCCTTTGCCAGCTGACAGCGGACGCAGTCGGATCTGCTGAGCCTCTTTCGGCACTCGCGGAGCGAATCCACGTCTCTGCTGGACCCTCTGGCCCAAACAAGGTGATGGGTCCCGTAATTTCCGTGTTCTTCGCTCATGTGTCCCCACTTGTCCTTGACACGTAGGAATATCTCTTCAACTTGGCCACAGCTGTCCGGGAGCTGGCCCCGGAGTCGAGAGACAGTCACCTGTTCGCCCTGGAGGTCAGCGCGCCGTTTCCCATGCATTCCACCCTGCAACCTGAATCCGGACATAGGCTCTGGTCAAAGACTTGGAAGCTCGAGCTGTGCCATAGCGTTATCCTCCTGTCTGGTGACCGGTTGTCGATACCCTTGTATTACAGATCACTCGGAATCACGCTGACTCACCATCACATCCCACACAGAAAGGCGATCAAATACTGATGATCAAATCATTCGTTTGTCTTCTTCCTTGTTCTCACTTTTGTTCCCGTTGTGCCACTGTAGCGCCCGTCAGGCCTTTGTTCTTGATTGCCGTGGCGGTGGGTACAAAAGGACAGAACTGTTTTAAAGAAGGCTATTACCACTACCACTACGGCTCCCACTCCCACTCTCTGATGGCTCCCACCCGCCACGCACGACCGACACGCTCGCCGACGATGACCGACTGCTTCAGCCCTCCCTCGCCACACGCTCCTTCCACGAAGTCTAAGAATCACGGTCCTTGGCAGACCCCGCTGACGCGGCTGGGCTTGGGGAAGGGCGCGAAGCAGCCGATGACGATGACACGCACGAACTTCATGAACGATGAGAACAAGACGACGGAGCAGCTCGGGGATGTGGCGGAGTATATCATGCGCAGACCTTCTGCCGGTGATACGACCGTGCGCCGTGCCACGAAGAAGAGGACGACGACAAAACCGCCAACGGAGGAGCGGGGGGATGAGGATGGGGCATGTGTGGTGAGGCAGCGGACCGACTCGGATGCGACATTGCGCGGTGTGAAAATTCCGAGGCAGTCTTCGAAGAAAGAGTGTAAGGATGAAAGATCCACAACGGATTGTGTTTCCTTCCCCAAAAGTCCAGAAGTACCCCTACAACTTTCGAGTCACCGGATTCGAGGCAACGTCTCTGGCGCGCGGCTGCTACCGAACGGGTGCTACGAGCTCGACCCGGAAGAGTACACTCTGTCCATCCAGTACCACTCTGGACCGCACTTCGAGTTCTGGGACAATTCAGACAAGTACGTTTTACGATCTTTTAGACTGACATGATGTACACGGCTCCTGACGCAGCCCACAAGCTATCTCATGGTCACCGGGCTCGCTCTGTGTATCCGACTGCGCGACCCGGACAAATGGGATCACATTCCCCTCGCTAGACCGACGCTCAACGTGGGCGCAATCCTGTGCACCAGTGCGCCCATCGTCTGTGCCCCAGCGCACTACCGAAGCTCACCTGCGTCCAAATTCGCCGTGAGCTACCACGGGACGACGTTGAACCGCGCTCCACCGTCTGAGGATCCGGCGACGTGGGGAATCGTCGCCGACTCGGTGTGGAATAGAGAGCCAGGATGTACCTCTGGACCGCGCGTCGCGCGGCTTTTAGCGTTCATGGTACCGATGCCAACCAAGCTATTCGACAAGTGCGAGACCAGGGTATTCGATGTGAGCGCCTGCGTCAGCTTGAATGAGAAATCGAGGCATATCGTGTCCTCGATGGAGCGGATTACGGTGTCGCATTTGCAGCGGGAACGAGACATGTCCTGCAAGTGTACTACCACTAGTACTACATACACCGATAGGGGCTGATGGTTTGATTCGAATCGCCTTGTACGATTTTGGCCTCTTCCGCTCATCACTTTCACGTAAATCCGCGCCGCAAGTCTGTTTGCCACGCGCGCCAGAGAGAGAGCAACTCAGGAGCGATTTCAGGGTCGACCTAAGCTGAATATTGAGTGGCAGCGCGGTGTGAACATGCATGCTTGACTTACGTCCAGCCAGGACACGACAGCGCGCACTTCGGACAGGACCCGAGAATAGGCGAATCGCGCGTCGCCCAGCGCGCCTAACAACTCTGCCGTGGGGACCGAATTGGATAGATGCTCGGTCCATCGGCGTCGGATGTACTGATACGTCGTGCTGCTCGATGTGTCAGTCGCCAGCTTCAGAGCTATACAACATCAGAATGCGCACAGATCGACCGGTGCACACTCATCGAGATTGCGTGTGATGAACCTGATGCAAACTGCAGCGACTCGCGCGTGGTACACCCGCGGGTCGGTCCAGAAGGGCTGCGAGCGCCGGCGGTCGTGCAAGAACTCGACGGCCGCCTGCTGCAGGATGCGGACGCGACTCGCGCCGGCCGCGCGCGGGCACTCGATGAACGCCGACAGCCCGTCCAAACCCCCGTTGTGCGGGATCTCCAAGCCGAGCAAAATCTGGAGCTCTGCCAGCGAGAAAGACGCGCGCAGCACGGAGAGTAGGCCGAGCACGTGTCTCGCTGACTCGGGGGCCGCGGACAGGATGTGGTGGTACAGCTGGTCCAGCGGGGGCCGCGGTGCGTCGTCCGCTGCAGCGATGACCACTCCGACTAAGCGCTGCACAGGATCTCCCCGGGGATCAGCCACGTAGCGCAGCACCGTCGACGGGTACAGGAAGTGGCGGTCTGATTTCCGGACGAGCACGTTCACCGCATCGACCGACGGCCAGGACTCGGGTATTGTGCCGGGGGCGCGCGTCGAAGTGATCTCGCTGATTCCGGCCCACAGAAACGTGCGGATGTCCGATTCGGAGCTGAACAATTGCAGCGGAATCCGGTTGGCCATACCTCTGAAGACGGGCAGATCGAATGCCGCCTCGAGATGTGTACTGGAGCGGCTTGTTATGAGAAAGCAGAGCGGCAGTCGATGGACAGCGAGTAGCTCGGCGATGAGCATCAGCACCTGCAGCTGGGCGTCGTCTCGCTCACACGCATCCAAGGCATCGATGACGACCACCTTGGGAGTTGTTTCCTCCCCGCTGTTGATCATTTTGTACGGCTCGACAATGAGATGCATCGCCTGCGCCTGGATCGGCTGCGAGAGGATCGACGCAGTTCGTTCAATCGCGCGCGAAATGTGCGTCCTCAAGGCGGGATTGGAGCGCGCGAGCTTGTAGGCGAGCGTCGCGACCAGGAATCTCGCATCCGCAAGGTCCCCCATGCCGTGCGCGAAAAAGAACGTCGCGCCGAGCTGTCCGGACTCAGCGCAGAATTCGGCCACGCTCTGAGCGATCGCTGTTTTTCCGGAGCCAGCATCTCCGTGGATCCACAGCATCCGCGGCCCGCGCAGGACATTTTTGGTCCATGAGAGGATGATCTCGAAGACAATCTGCCGGGTCTGCGGGTGGCAGCGGCAGCAGGGTTGTCGTTCGGCAGAATCAAACGATGCGCCGACGGCAATGGCGCTGTGAAGCAGATGGAGGCCTGTGCAGGTTGACTGTCTCCAGACGATTTGACCTTCAGTACACTGGCTCACCGTCCGCTGGTTCCTCGACGACATTCATGGGGTCTATAAATCTAGCTGAGGAGGACCGTCGGCGGGCCATGATGTCCCATATCTCGACGTGGAGCTAGGCAATAAGTAGTCCAACAGGATCACCGCCACATGAAATGAGCGCGTCGGCAGAAAATGTCAGCGAAAGGATTAACATAGTCTATCACGGGCGTATCACTCCCGAAGCATCCCGTGGGTGCTCGGAAGGCGCTTGGGAGATAGCGCGGATCCCTCCGAGTCCCGTGACCCCAGTAGTTGAACTCATCGCTCCGCATTTCCGTCGGTGCAGATGACATGCTGTGACTTGTCCGAGAACCGGCCAACTCAGGTATCAATGCGCTGAATTTCATGAAGCCTCGTACAACCCGAGTGCGACCACCGAATATTTCTGCATTTCACTGACCGCACGTGGTAGATGGCTATCAGCGCGTTGCCGCAGGTTTTGGATCGTCCGTCCGATTGTGTGCTGCACACCCCACGCCCTTGCTCGGCTCCCTGAATGGGCGGTGATGGAATCACGGCCGGCGCTCAAAGGACCGAATAAGATCGCTCGCGCCCAAGGACAAGATCAGCGCCCATCCAAGTTCCGGCGCTGTGGGCTGAGAATAGACAGGAGCAGCACAGCATCGGATCAGTTGGAATGGATCAGTTGGGAATGATCCGAAGCATCGACGTGATGACCGGTCGATGAATATTTGACCCGATCAGGGATCTCCTCGTGGAGTGACGAAGCGTGACATTCCAGTTAACTCGATTCCCTGTTTCACTTTTTTCTTGCTCACTCGCCCAAGCGTTGTTTGTGAAATCAATCAATCAGGCAAAAACTCATAAGAGGAGCCCCAAGGTCACAGAACGTAGGAATCCCAGATCGTGCGCCAGTGGGTGTAGGATGGAAACCGTTTCGCTGGCGGGTATTACTGTGCTCAGTTGCGGTTGGACGTGAATAGAGGGCCTTTCCAGTGCGCTGGTGACCGCAGGGCACGGAGCTGGCCTCCGGAAGAATCATAGGGATTCCTCGATGCGTGTCCGTTGGGTCGCAGGGTTGTGGAGAACAGGTTAGTTGGCCCGGCAGTTCGGCGGATACCATGGTTAACGGACATTGCGCGACGTTTCAACAGCGGAGAAGTAGCAGCGCGGCGGCACAGAAACTTTGCGAAGCGATCCCGCTGGATGATGGGGGCGGCGATGGGAAGGGGTGTACGACTGGCCGCTTGCGACGCTCTCTCTCACCTGCCTTTATCGCAATCACATTTCTCGAATGTCCCTCCTCCTCCTCCCCGTGCTTCGATCCACTCTCGATGACTTCCGGTGTCATCAAATCTGGGCCAAGAGCCCGTCCATACATTTCCACAGTGGATTCCCGTGCGTGTCGGGCCTGTGCCACAGGATCTGTAGGGCCCGAGTGGACCGCAGGAACTTTCCGGGATCGTCCAGAGAGACGGACCCTCTCGCTCGCCTTCGGCGGTCGATCCGCAGAGTTTATCGAAGGTTTCATACCACCTGGAACTGCTTAGCGTGAGGGGGGCGGATTCTCTCCACGCGTGTTGGCTCTGGTCCGATGGTGCCTCGGGCGGCCTCGGCACTCGACCGGTTCTCAAGTTGGAAGCCGAGGGTGGTCGTAAGTAGCGTCCACCAGGTGCGGACCACCACAGATTTTCAGTCTTGTTCGGCAGCTCGCTTCCTCGAGACGCGGGGGCGGGGTTTCCGGCTTTTCAATCTGCTTGGATCGCCTCTTGAAGTAGAAGCCCGACGACAGTCCGTGTTTCCAGGACTCGAACTCCGTACTTAATCTCATTGTTCGCGTCCATAGCATAGGCAACTCTAACTCGATCTGCCCGCCGCATAATTACGCGTACGTGCCGTTTTACTTTGCCCGTTTGACGATGTGCAAATGCATGGACCTAGACGCAGTCAATTGAGTCGCCCGTCCGTTACCTTGTGCGGCGGAGAAATTCACCCTGAAAACGGAGTGCATTGTGCGACTAACAACATTGGATCCTAGGTTTAGCGCGCCCGCTCTTACTTTTGATGAAGACTTTCCTGTTGTTTCTCGACGCTGAATTCTCGTGCGCGGCCTATTTCATCGGAGGACGAGATACTTATTTAAGCACCCGCCCCCCCTCCTTCCCCATCCCTGTACACTCCACTGCCCTCATCGATCAGCACCATGAGCTCTGCCAACCCCACCTCACTGCTCCCAATCGCCGAAAATGATGAGACAGCGATCCTCCTCTCTCATCATGAATTCAAAAAGCCTCGCACTACGTCATCTGTCGTGCGGCCCTATCTCGAGCTCATCAGATTTGAAAAGGTGCACTTTTCATTTCCCTGTGGTGATGAGCTGCGGCTGATCGGTCCTCAAACGGCAGCCGACGGGAACTATACTTATGTTCTGGCCATTCGGTACGGTCATGGATCATCTGTCCCAGCTGTGCATGGAACTCACGCATTTCCAGCCTGGGGTTTGACGATGGCAGCATATCGCACCGGCCTTCCCCTCACAGATTTCCTCCACGGCCTGGGAAGAGCGCTCGTCGGCGCCTTCCTCCTGCGCAGTTCGGCCTGCACGGTGAACGACATTCTCGACCGTGACATGGACGCCGGTGTCGGTCCGTGCTCTTTCCGCCCCTCGAATCTCTCCGCACGCTGACGAGGATGTCATGCTAGAACGAACAAGAAATCGACCGTTGCCTAGCGGGGCCATCTCACCTTCAGCAGCGACCGTTTATCTATTTGTGCAGTATGGGCTGGGCTGTGCTTTCTTCTGGTACACCGAGACGGGACTTGCGTACGTCTTTGGATCTTTCTTCCCTCACTTTCACTGCTGACGAAAACTGCCGCGCACAGTTTCTGGATTGCCCTGTTTCAACTCATCCCACTGTAAAAACTCCCCTCGCAAGTTGTCTGTCTGGCTAATCGTTCTCCACCGATCCAGATTCGCTGTCTACCCGTTATTGAAACGCATCACTCATTGGCCGCAAGCATGGCTCGGATTCGCGATGAACTTTGGGTTCGTCACTGCGTGGATCTCGGTAACCCAAAGTGCGGACCTAAGCGTCCTTCCGGCGGCTATGGCTAGCTGTTGGTTGTAAGTTTCCTTCGTCAAGTAAACTCCAATCGACGAATCTGACGGTACTCCTAGCTGGACTATGCTCTATGGTATCTTCCCTCACATAGCATACCCTAATCCGTCTCTAAAGAGCAACACATTCTCCCAGATACAGTCTACGCCTGCCAAGACCTCAAAGACGACGTGAAGGTCGGCGTCCGCTCCACCGCGCTCCTGTTCGGGACCTGGATCCGCCCCCTGCTTGTCTCGTGCGGCGTGCTCTTCGTCGTCATGCTTGCCTGCGCGGGCGTCCTCAACGCCCAAGGACCGATGTTCTTCCTCGTCTCCGTCGGCGGCACGTGTGTCCATCTGCTGTGGCAGTACTCGACGGTCGATCTGGGCGTCCCGAAAAGTTGCTGGCGTATGTGCGATGCTTTTGACGGGATGCTCTGACTTACCAATGAATTTCATTTAGTGAACTTCACCCGAAATGGGCATCTCGGGTGGATTATATGGAGCGGGCTGGTGTTGGATTATGTTCTTGCGTTGTACAGCACACAGTAAGCCCAGCGGACATGGTAAATAAAGTATCTAAATATGTGCTGCTACTTATTTTGATTGCCAAATATCTGATGTCCTTGTGACTTGAATATGGTCGACTGCACATCTCTGAGGAACCGATATCCGCAAAAAACTCCGAAAAGAATGAAGAGTGTGAAGTAATAAGACGAGGATTCGAGTCTCACGGATAAAGGGTTTCGGAGACAGCGAGGGACATTATGCCTCTAAAAGAGAGACAGAGATGACTCTTTTGCTTATCGCTACACGTCTGCTCAGTACCGGACACAAAGTATACCGCAGCACGAAGATCTTCGCTTCGATCTCTCCAATGGTTTTATTTTCGCTTCCGCTATTTCATGTTCGATATTTGCCGACCCCGCCCGGGTCCGATCCTACTGCACAGCATCCTTCATTTCGGCTCCGTGCCTGACCAGCTCATCCGAGGACCCACAAGACTGACAAAGGCCTTGTCAATTGAACTTGATGTTGGGAAAGGGATCAGATCGAATGACATGCTTAGTCATGTCTGGCCGAGGAATTACAGCTGTCTTATTTGTGCGAGCTTGGGTTCAGGATGAGGACTCAGCGCAACTTCGTGACTTCGGGCGTGTCATTCCCGAAACGAGTGGAAATTCTCGCTGTCTGGCTTTACACGCAATCGGCCGACAAATCCGAAGTCTGAAGGCACGTAGCTTGACGTTCGACTCCGATGGTACGCACTGATGTCTTCAAGCACTGTGATTTGCATTAATACTGTCCGTAGAAGGCGGGATTGGTCAGCGAGGAAGTTCCGGCTCGTCTATCGTGCGACGCGTGGAAGTGGCAGTCGAATGCGACCCTTGGCGCTACCATCGGAGGAATCGACTGGGTCACGTTCGGACCAAAAATGGATGGGCTGCTTGGGTCATTCTGCCAGGCGTGCAGACACTTCGTTCTAGGGGTGGATGATGCATTCCTACCGTCGACTACATGCCAAATTGACCAGCTAATGTATTGGAAGAGCCGTTTTTGTTGCACAACAATACCACGTTCTTTCCATGACGTCGACGCACATCAGCTGATAGGCCGCAACAGGGACCAGATGGGACAGAGGAGGACAGCCAAACCCAAAAAACCGGTCGGACAGATTCTTTGAGTAAAACAGAGCACTCCCGGTCAGCATGGCAAGAGCCGGTTCCGAGATGTTAGTATCCTGGAGCGCAAGGCAAGCGTAAGCAAGTCCATCTTCGATCTCAGCCTCTCCTCACCAGGTGGCTCAACATTCAGAACATCGAATGAGACCCATGCCTGAACTGGAGACATCTCTGAGATCTAGACCCGTCGGAAATTGGATCGACCAGGGTCGATCGAGTCTGCAGATCCAGATCTCGCATGGGTTTGTTCCCACGACCTATCTGTCTTTCCGAATGAGGACGCAGATGATGCGCCGGCCCGCCGTATGCCGGTTGCCACAGATTACACCCTCATTCCAGCATCTGCCACGGGGTGCGTGCCTAAATCCAACGCGGGAGCTGAAAGCGGGCATGTGATTTTGTTCGCTCTGTCTAATGCTGATTCGGCGATGACGACACTACCCTTGTCTCACCAACCCCAGCCTGCCCGTTTCCAGCCTAACGACCCACCCGCCCAGCTTCTCGCTCCGGAAGTTGCGCTCCCAGTCGTATATCCCATCGACCGCCTTGCGTGCGTTGACGCGCCACAGCACGTGCTTCGCCTCGTCGTCGCCGTCCGCGAGCTGCACGACGTCCTGGGTCGCGAGCAGCGGGCCGTCCGGCGCGAGGAGCGCGTGCGGAACCCGCTGCGAGACGGAAGCCGCCATTTCGGGGGTCGTGGGGCCCAGTGCATGCGAGCAAAAGTCCATGGTGCGCTGGATTGTAGTTTCTGTGAGCTCGGTCGCGCTGTGAGCCGAGTCGGCGGTGCCTTGGATGACTGTTCAGGGATCTAGTCAGTGTGTGTCCCTCCTTTTCTTGAGGCTATGATGATGTCTCACCGGGTCGTAGGAAGTCAAACGCTCTGTCAAAATTGTCCTCTTCGATGTCAGAGAGCACCGGAGCTGCTTGCGCGTTGATCTGCTTGTAGATGCTTAGGACCACAAGCAGAAATCTGGGAGCAACTGAGCATGGTATGGCTGTGATTTAGAAATTCATGGTGCACTGACCGCGTATAGGACGTTCCGGTCTTCTCGTTATGGAACCGCGCCGCTTCACTCTCGGAACACTCACCGCGTATTGAAGCTGCGATGGTCGCCGCAGCCGAAAGGGCATTGGTAAACGCGAGGTGGACCCCAGAAGAGAAGAATGGGTCGATCTGTTGATCAAGTAAGAGTCGTTTATTGTCTTCCCAGGGATCATGGCCGACTCACAAACGCTCCAGCATCGCCAGCAATGCGGAAATGCGGGCCGGCATACGCAGAAGCGGCATAGCTGTAGTCTCCAGCGGACTTGATCTCGCTGGCCAGTTGTGCTTTGCCCAGCAGCCGAACTAGACCGGGCGCCAATGGAAGCTGAGCGAGATAGTGCTCCTTGACAGATGTGGGCGCGGTTTTGCGCGCACGGCTCGCTTCCTCATTCATGACGACACCAACCGACACAGTTCCGTTATGGAGGGGAATGAACCACGCCCAGCCCGATTCGTCTACACAAAATGAGGGTCAACGTACATCTCAATATCAGCACCTAAATCGTACCTGTCAAAGCTTCAAACCAGGGCGCATTTTCACGCCTTGTCCCAGGCTGGTAGACGCCCGCACCGGTCCAGTAGCCCCAGAACGCAACGTTTCTCAGCGCTTGGTTGAACTTGCGGTTCCTCAGATACCGCGTGGACATAATTCCGTTACGGCCCGAGGCGTCTACAAGCCAGGTAAACTTGATCGTTCCCCGGCTCTCGGTGTGCAGCTGCGAGGAGTCTCTCCGCGTCCACTCCGCTGACACCGGTTGGTTTGCCGCAAATCCGATCGAGGAGACGGATACGCCCTCGAAGATCCTGGCACCAGAGGAGGCCGCGTGACGGAGGAGAAGCTCGTCGAATTCCGAGCGGATCTAGGTCGTTGCGTAAGTTTTGCGTGCGAATGTCAGCGAGCCCACTGACAACATTGAAAGCCGCTTTTTCTGGGTCTGGAGTGATGAAGTCCGTGTCTGGATCGGGAATGTCAAGCACAGTCGAAGCAGCCGGTGACTCAACCTACATCCTTCGCGCTTGTGCTGATTCAGTTTAACAGCCGCCCCGACCTTGGATTGTGGCTCAGCGACTTGACGTGTAAGTCTATAACATCCCCCTCACCTTCACCGTGAAGCCATGCTTCACGAGCTTCTCTTCAGCCCCGATGAAGCGGAGGAAGGGCCGACAAGAGGGAAGCATACTTTCGCCGATGTGATACCGCGGGAAGAAATCTTTCTCAAGAAGTGTCACGCTGAAGCCCTCTGGAGACGAATCCTTCAGCTCCATCGTCGAGTCTTCAGGCGACCCACACACCTCTGGCTAGAGCGCTGGCAGCGTAAGAGCCAGCGGGGCCACCGCCGATGACCAGGATATCAGTCTGTGTCGGCTGCGACAAGTCAATGTGCCGATCACGTCCAAGCGGAAACAGGGCTGACGTACGATCGAAGGAGAGGGCATCGCTGTGGCAGGAGTTCTTTGGTGGGGCTTACATCTCACTGGCATCCGCTGACTTTATATTACTCGTTTTTTTCGTGACACTCTTACGCGTCGATTACCTGTCAGCCCTGTGCTGCTGCCACTAATTATCCGGTCGTTAGCCTCCATTACAAGTTATAAATGCAGATTAGGACTAGGTTGTATGTTGAAATGATTTCCTTGTCTCCTGGAAGTGAAAATATGTTTCGTTGCACGGAGATACGCTTCCGCGACTTCACTAGTTGAAACCGGGATCGGTATCGGGCACGCGAGTATATTCTGGAGCGGAGAGAATGAAATTTTCTTTCAACGTCCACGTCAGACGCCGTAGCACAAGCAGCTCCAGCGATCCAACTGTCGCAGGTAGCGGGTTCGCGTTCTAATTCAGGCTCTATTGCGGACGAGTCATAGCCCAGCCGTGCGTCAGACGCTGCAAACTACGGGGATCATAACCTTGTGTCGGATTTGATCTCCTAAAAGAAGCGTAAAACGGAGTTGACTGAGTTGCCGGTCTCGATGATTGTGCAGTACGCCATCGTCGCTCACACCATACCCGAGGGCCTATGTCAGTCTAACGGTTTCAGACACGTCTGCTGTGCTCACACGACGGTTTCCGTTCTTGGGACAGCGGTACACGTCCCTGGCGATTCAGCACAGGGCCGCAGTCTAGGTTGAGGGCAGCAGAATGCATAACAGTAACTATGCGTTTGTGCCGCAAGATAGTTGTGTTTTTTAGCTTTCATAGACCTTAGTCTGTACGACTCGGTCGATTAGAGATCCCCACGTTTTGTTTGCTAGGAACAGCGAGAACGTAAATGGCGCACAATAATGTAATGGGGGCACGCGATCGGGTTCCTGCGACGATTCAAGATTGAGCTTAGCCAAGCTGCCCGATCTTGTGGTGCTCAGCCTCTTGGAGATACCACGCATGAGTGCTATGTCGCCGACCGGAGACATACGGATTATCGGCGCTGTACGAGATACCAAGGGAACGAAACGCGGAAAGCAAGCGATATGTATAGAGAGCAGTGTACGTGAGTGAATATGATCGGACGGGATAGATAACGAGCCTAAGATCCAGTATCATCTGCGGAAAAGCCAGGAATCATCATTGCCCCGGCCGCACTGCGATGTAGATAGTTATCGTCCCGACCGCGGTCCATCGCCCGGCACTCCTCAAGCAGTTTGCGCAGCTCGTTCAGGCTACCCGCTGTATTGGACGTCGGCGCGTGTTTCCAGCCGTCTTGAAGCAGCTGCTCCTCGACCTCAGCTTCGTCTTCGTCATCCTCCTCGTCGCTGTCATCATCGTCGCTGAAATCGCCGTCATCCAGGTCTTGAGGCAGCTCACCCAGTAGAGCGCCCGTGCAATCCTCCAACCGGACGCCGGCACCGGCAGTCATCGACCACCATCTTTCCCATCGGCTCATCCCTCCTCCCTCCGTGCTAGGCCCATCTGCCTTCTCGAGATCCATCAACAGACCGCGGCTCAAAACACGCAAGCGGTGTAACGAGGGAAACGCCGTCTTGTCACACAGCGCCTGGATCGTGCGATCGTTGACGGACGTAGCAACCAGTGCAGACACGCCGTCTGCAGCTCCGAAACCAACTCCAAACGCGTACGATAGCCCGCTCAGCCCGACGTTCATGAGCTTGTCGTGCGCGAGCGGAGGGGAAGGCCCCGACGAAGATGAGTCGTCCTCGGCACCAACAATACGCCAGTCTCCGTTGAATGTCATGGTGCGCAGCTCGGGGCATCGTGCCAGGATCTGCTGCACCGGGAGGCTTGGTAGAGCTTCGAGGTCGAGGTGAATGACACTCGGTCCGTGCGCAGTGAGGAAGCAAACGACGTCCGGCAAGTCGGTAGTCCGGGGACAATCAACCGACAGGTGGCGAAGCACAGGCAAGTCCCAGCCACTGGCTTGCTCGACGAATTGCTGGATGTGGCCTTTAAGCGACAGCTGCTGCAAATTGGGTAGCGTGAGACGGATGTCACCCGCTGCGCCAAGTGCGGGGTCGTCCGATACAACGCTCGCACGCTCGTAGTCCTCCTCCTGAGCACTAGAGGCCAGAAATCCCCTCTCCTCCGCCTGCCCGTCATACTCTAGCTCGATATGCACCGCCCCGACGCGTCTAAGCCCTTCCAAAGCCCAGATCACCTTCCCCAGTGCCCCAGCGGGGACGGTCACCGCAAGAGTCGACAGGCTTCCCCGCGCATGGACTGCCAACGCATCGGCCACCGGCCCGAAGGTGCTGGCGGTCAGCGGCCAGTTGACGATAAAGATCTGGAGGTTCGGGCAGTGTCGGATGACGCGAATGAGCGCGTCCTGGAGTAGAATCGGTGTCGTCCCGCGGGCGTGCGAGGCGTAGAACCGCGTGACGTGGATCCGGCGCGTCCACCATCCGAGGGGCGGCGCAGCTGCGTTGGCCGATGACCCTGCAGGGTCCGTGGACGTGGCGGCCGTGGAAGAAGTGGCAGCAGACGCGTCGAGGAGGTTGGCAAGTGCAACGAGCCGCCCGGGATCGCTGAAGAACAGACACCGAAAGAGAAACTCTGACCCAATCTCCCGCCACCGCTTGCATGTCCGCACGATCGCCTTCTTCGTCGCGTAACTCCGCCGCTGGACCATCTCGACGGCATCCCCGGGCGTGCGGAGGGACCAGGCACCGTGAAAGTTCTTGAACCACGCCGACTCAGCCATGGGCGATACGCCGGGCAGACCCGGTGCGAAAAGCACATCTTCGTCGGCGGCAAGGTCGAATATCTGAGTCCATAGTTCGGCCGGGAGATCGATCATGAGACAAAGTGCTGAGGATGGCAACAAGAATACACTCGAAGAACGGGGGTGATTTGCGCCTGGTGCGGTCGAGAAGAAGAGTGTTGTGTGCTCCTGTTGGTCGGAGCTGTGGCTGTGCACATAATCAGATAATCTTATCTGGAGAAGCTACCATAAAGACTGTCGTCACTATCTCTCCATTCGAGCTTTGAAGACGGAAGGTCGGGAGAAAGCACCATTTTCGAGGATATATATATGGGACACTTCTATACGGATTATCATCGTTAGTCACGACTCGAAGGGATCGAGAACGGTAATACTTCATTATGTCCGCTCCCGAGGCTGGGCATGAATGAAGAAGCGCAGAGAATGAGACCTTTGTGAACCTCAAAACTTCTGGGGACTCCATTGAGACGACAATCGTCCTTCTCCTTCTGGTCGACCTCTTTCGTCTAGTCGTGCTTCTCAGAAATAACTTCATCGGGGAAGGCAGAGGTACCTGAACTCGCGCAGCACCGGTATTTCGCATCACAGATTCGACTGGTACCACTCAGTTCCTGGCTTCCTATGAGGCCCCATGTGCGACAGGATCACTGCGCATTGGCAGTGGTACTGCGGTCAGAGTCGCACGCGTGACAGTCCCCATCTTCCAAGCTCCGCAGCGAGCATCGCCTCAACCGAGTGGCACACATCTTCCTACTTAGAACCCCATCCCCGTCTCACCGAGACCACAACCAGAGATGATACTCGACTCTGAGGATCTTCCGCCCCCTTACACACCTCTCCCGACCCCCGGCGGGGAGCAGACGCTGTCGTACGGCCCCACTCGCCCGTTCCAGAATGCGCAGCAACAGGAACAGCAGGAGCGGGCCGGGGGTGGGATGCGTGCGTGGCTCGAGCGGTCGAGGGGCGCGCAGACGCTCGCAAGAGGCATTGGCACGAGTTTGGGCGCCGGGCGAGGGAGAGGACGAGGACGAGGGACGGTGGATCGGAGCAGAGGATGGGACAGCGCGAGGAGGGAACGCCGGCACTCCGTCCCTGCATCTACACCCGCACCGAGGCATGCCATACCTCGACGTGCCTTGGCTGGTTCCGCAACGATGCGTACGCCCCCGCCACGGCATCCTTCGCAACGCGCGCGCGAAGCACCACTACCGCCGCTCCCCGCCCGGTCGGCGCAGGATTTTGCCACTCTTCCTTCCCGCATGCCGCAAGCTGCCCACTCGGATTTCGCGCAGGAGTTTTATGCGGCGGGGACGGGGGAGAGTGTCGGGTTGCAGTTCGAGGCGATGACGCTGGGCTCTGGGCCAGGGCCGAGTTCTGCGCAAGCGTCGACTTCGCGCACACCATTGACTTCATCTACGTCGTCGTCTGCACCGATAGATTCTGGCCTTCCCAGACCGACGACGACGCCTCAGGCGGGACACCCGCTACTTCACAAAGGGCAAATCTTGTTCTATCCTGCTGGGGTGCAGTGCAAGAAGTGTGGGTATTCCTTGCTTCTGCTGCTCTTTTCATTGCCACTCACTCGCCCCTCTCGCTCAGGTTACAACACTGGGTACCAGCGCTTTGACCCATCGCGGCCATGCAGCCGATGCTGGCGCAACTACGGTCGGCCGTATAGCGGCCCGCTCCTCCTCGCGTCTACAGGAGCGTTCGATACACATGCGGATCCCTCATCGTCCTCTTCTTCCATCCAACGGCCACTGCCGACCAACTTCGGCTTGAGTGCCTCCGCAGGTGAAGGTGGAGCGGGCGGAGATCCTGCGTTAGAGCCGACCGCAATGCCTCAGCACGGGCATCCGCTGATGCATAAGAACAAGGTCCTGTGGTATCCGTCGGGTTATACATGTGATAAGTGTATGTGTTTTTACGAGACTCCTCCGTTTTCTCTGCTGACATCCTTTACCACGCAGGCTTCAACACTGGCTTCAAGCGCTTCAATCCCTCGAAGCCGTGCTCCCGGTGCTGGAAGGCATTTGGGCGGGGCACCGAGCTCGAGCACTCTGCATCATTCTGGGCTGCCCAGGGCTTGGTCTTTCAGCGGCCGTTGTCGAGTAACAGCGCGATGGGATATCCTGTGGCCGACGCCTCCTCGCCTTCCACGCCAGGGCCTTCGTCATCGTCTGCCTTCCTCGCGGCGCCGACAACTTCCCGACGGCTGAGTGCGCCCGCCGGAGGCTGGGAGGATGCCAAGTTTCCTCGCTCAGCACAGTACGTCTGATGGCCAACCTGTGGTCCTGGTCACAGATGGATGCTTGTTGTATCTGAGTCTTCGATTCCACATGTGAACTGGCTCGCCCTTGGCACCTGGAATGTTTCATGCGCCATCTTCGTCGCGTACTAGTTGTAGATGTATTCAGATGTACACCGTTTCATTGTATGCACACCCATATGTAACAAAGCTCACTTTGCACGGATTGCCAGTATAGAACTTGTTTTACCAATCACGTGACGCCGAAGGCCTTCACTCATTGCCCACTTGAATCTGCTCTGTACCTGATCATGAGAACGCCTAAATGCATATCTCCGCCTTCCTCAGCTCTCATGCCTCACTCCGTCTCCGGCTGTGGGCGGAAGGGCAGTGATACCCACCCAAGCAACGGACCCACGTCATGATTGCGCAGTCATGATCCAGATCCTTGTTTCAAGCCCAGCAAGAAACGGAGAAGTTGCCTCTAAAGGGATTGGATGAACATTAATAAGGCATGCCGTGAGCACTGCCCGCGGATGGTTTTGCCATTCATCCATCTATTATGTACACGGGCAAGCCCTTCTTTCCGCCCATCCCACCACCGCACAGTATGATCATTCCCAAAGACGAACTCGGGGAGAAGACTCGCCGACTCGACGACGCGGAGCTAGAACATGACGACACACCTCCGCCGTACACCTTACTCCCCGCTGCAAGCACGAGCGTGATCCCCAACGCGCCTGTGCCCTCCAGCTTTGTATCCCCGCCACCTCCTGCAAGTGCGGATGACGATGAAGATGAAGATGACAAGGCGGGAGTCATACGGGGGCCAACACCACCTCCGTTGGCACCCGGCGTCGGGCATGCGCAGTGGCTGCGCCCAATGGACTCGAGTCTCACGCTGGCCTCGTCGTCGTCGTCGACTGCGCCTGCGCCAGCGACTGCGCGACCGACTACGACCCCGCAGGCGGGGCATCCACTGCTGCACAAGGGGCAGGTCCTGTTCTACCCCGCCGGCGTGCGGTGCAAAAAGTGTGCGTGCATCCCCCGCTCTCGGTGGTGTTCTCGTTTCAGCGCTCGTCCTTCTCATCTCCGTTCGCAGGCTACAACACGGGCTACCAGCGGTTCGACCCCGCGCGGCCCTGTGCGAAATGCTGGCGGCAGTACGGACACACGTACGCTGGGCCCCTCTTGGCTGCGTTCGACTTGGCGTCCGCGTCCGCTTTGGCGAGCCCATCCGACACGCCGAACGCAGAATCATCGGTTCAGCGGCCCCTCCCTGAGAACTTTGCTCTGATTGTCACCGACACAACGGACGGTGCCGATCCCGCGCTCGAGCCCACGGCGCGGCCGCAGCATGGGCATCCGCTGATGTACAAGAAGAAGGTGCTGTTCTACCCCGCGGACCACACCTGTCCCAAATGTGCGTCGCCCGGCGCTAGTCATACGTTGCGCTCCGGGGCTAATCCATCTCGACCAGGCTGCAACACCGGCTACAAGGGTTTCAGGCCGTCCAAGCCGTGTTCTGGGTGCTGGAAGACCTACGGCCGGGTGCTGGACGGGGATCTGCTCGGCCTCGCGCCGTCTCCGGCGGCCTGGGCCGAGAGCCAGGGCCTGGTGCTGCAGCGCCCTTTGACGAGCAACAACCTGAGCAGAGCGGACTCGCTGGGCGTGATCGACACGGCAGCGGATGCTGAGGACCAGTCGGACTACCACCCGTCCCAACCGCCCTCGCCCCATCGGAGTCTGTCGGCCCCGGATCCGAGAGCGGCGTATGCGGCGTCGGCAGAGTTCTCGCGTTCTACGTCGTCGTTTGCTGGCAGTGCGAAGATGGGCGGGTGGAACAAGGGGAAGGGCTCGTAGCATGGCGAGTCTGCACTGTGAGGAGTTACGTGCTGCAACGGAAGTCAAGTGGACATTTGGATAGAGTAGGATTGTATTTACCAAGGACCTATTCCCTATCTTCAGGACACCAATAACAGATACAGTACATGGAACATGCATCCCAAAAGTTCCCGCAGTCACCCAAAAACACGATAAGAGTTGTGATTTGATTTGATGCTCACTTTTCATATAGATATTACACCTTATGCTGAACTGTTAGCGCTATGCGGTGTGAACTTAGGGGAGTTCAGCGTTGTGTGGTATTTGGCCCCGATCGCCTATACAGTATATCTCGATCGTTTTCTGTTCCCTCAGTCTTACCATCATATCGGGTGCGACTGAGGGTACGTTCGTCCATGGACTCTCACATACTTATTTATATACTTACGTTCTGTAGACTTACGGCCTATCTTCGTCTACAGGTACAATATTGAGTCTTACCATCATATCGGGTGCGACTGAGGACTTACGGCCTGTCTTCGTCTACATGAACATTTTTCAGTATACATATTTCAAGCCTCTCTCCCACGTTTTGTCCTCGATCCTGGCAAACTTTTCCAGCCCCGGCGCTAATCTGATCAGTAATAGCATTCCCAGTTTCGGGTTTCACCAAGGTGATGATTTGTTTGTACTTACTTCGTTGCAACGACCTACGCTACTATTGAACGGCCTTACTACTTCACTTGCAAAGCGCTAAATCTCTGTCGCGCGTATCGCAGCAACGGTCTGATCTGAGCGGGGCCGCATTGTGCACTTGAACGGCAGCGGGGTTCTGTCAAACGCTCAGTCTTTCCAAAACAGCCTCCTGTTGGAAGCGGACGCACGAGATGAGGCCCCAGAACCACCCATACTGACCTTCGTCCTGCGTTCCCTCCGTCTTGACAAAGTCAAACATAGACAGCAGGGATCCGATGGTAAGCCATAGCGAGTTGGAAGCCATGTATCGGCCCGGGCAAATTCTGCGTTATTCATACAGGCTGAGTGGTATGCCATCTGAGTAGAGGGAACCCATACCTTCTACCGTAGCCGTAGATGAACGCCTCGGGGTCGCGGATGTCTTTGTTGAGTTTGCCGTTCTGTAAGAATCGCTCAGGCTTGAATGTATCTGGGTCTGGGTACATCTCCTGTTTTCGATCATGAGCCGGAGAGATTAGAGTGTGCGAGTCCATTCGAACCTCGTCATGTAAAATCGCCCTGGATTCTGAATCAGACCTCATTGAGATCTAAAGGAAAGACGAGCGAACCAGGTGTTCCCGATAACTACCGAGCCCTTGGGGATCCGGTAGCCCTTGTACTCGTCCTCCGCTTCGCTCTGATGTGGAATTGCCACGGCCGTGATGTTGCGCCATCTGAGGACTTCCTTGATCAAAGCTGCAAGGTACGGCATCCGCTCCTCGGCGTCTTCGCTAAAGTCTGGCAAATTCCCGTGCCCCCAGACTTCGTCAATTTCCTGCTGCGCCGCGCGTTGAACGTCGGGATACAGCAGCATCGCGATGACGAATGTGCCCAGCGCCGAGACCACCGTGTCGACACCTGCAACGTACATCGCGGCCGCGGTGTACTTGACGACCTCTTCGTGTGCGATCTTGGCGTTCGGCGATAGAGTCGAAGACGGATCCTCGAGAGTGCGCAGATGCAGGGAAGAGTACGACGCGGATGCCGTACCCGCGGACTGATCGGTAGGGTGCGGTCAGAACGGCTGAGGATCTCTTCCCAAGGGAAAAGAACGCGACAGACCATCATGCGCTTCGTCTCGCTGAAGGGCATCTCCACGGCATCCATGGTTGCTTTGCACCACTTCTGCGCCTCTCGCTTGAACCCTGCTCCGGGGACCCACCTCGGGATGTACTTGAGAGGGGGGATGATATCCTGCCCGTAAAGGCGCCATTTTAGCCCTTGGATTGCATTGGATAACGTCGAACACGTACGACGAGAAACGCCCCGGGAACACTCGCAACGGAAAGTCCATGCACTGCTTCCGCGACGATGGAGACGTACTGATCGTCGGAAGTGCGAATCTTGATACCGTATGCGATATCCATGATAATTCCCCACTAGATAGTGGCCCTATTCTATAGAACAACCGGTCATTAGAAGCATGCCCATTCTTCAGTAAACCCTCTAGCTTAGAGCAGGCCTGCAAGCCCTAGCCGTATTCCCTGCCCGTGGCAGCCAGACCCCCTTCCCCACCGCTCATATGTTGGGTGTGTTTGGTCAGTATTGATCACACGCCTTGATCGCTGTGCCACGTCATTCCTCATTGTCGTCCACGGTGAGCTCAGGCACACATTTTGATGCATGATGTCTCATCATTCACCGTGTCATTCCATCACTTTGATCACAGCGATCACACCGTCAATTCATCATCCGTCATTGCAACAACATCTGTCGTCGCTGTCATCAGCGCTCATCAGAATCTCTTGGCGTTGTCTTCCGCGATGAGCACCAAATAATTCAAATGTAGAAATAATCTGAAATGTATGCGTATACTACAATCTAAAGGCGGTCATCTATCTACGTCCAAGTCTATGGCCAGATCCTCTTCAGCATCTGAGGCCTCAACCGTGCTCACCACACCTTTTCGGCCTGTCTCGATTGAGCCGGGCACTGATTTCCACATGTGACGCAGTTTCCCTGCTCGCCGGTCATGGAAGCGTGCCTGCTTTTCAGCATACGCGTGCAATGCTTCGTCCATTGCTGGGCCCAGCTCCTCGGCCTCACGGCCAAGCCTCCGTTCTCTCCACCATGCTGCCCTCCACTCCTCAAACGCTAGCACACGTCGCATCTCTTCTTCAAGAAGATCAACCTCCTCCCGCCACCTTCCTGCCCGAGCCCTAGCCTTAGCCCATTCAACACGAAGCCCGGCAGTGAGCAGCTGTGCTTCATGTTCGGCTACAGCAGGGGACAAACTTGTGCTGTCGGTCTCAGGGTTCTGCGAGGAGGATGCTACCTCAGCCACTGGCTTCAGGCTGGTTCGCCAGATCCATGACATCTCTTTGGCTAAAGTCTCTGCCTCCCTCTCCTCCATGGTCTGCAGCGTACGTTTCTTCTTCTGCTTGCGCTGGGGATCAGCGAAAAGCGCCTGCGGCATTCCACGGATGTCCTTCTCTTCCAGCGGCCGCAGGATCCTTGACCATGCAGCATCACCCAACAGACGAGCCAATGCAACCAGAGCCGCTCTTGCTGCCCGGTATTCTTCTGCAGTCCGTTTGATGCGCCGCTGGATGTTGTCAAGGGACTCCTTTGCACGGGTGTTGGCTGCGACGCCAAATGCGTGGCGATCCTTCGCTTGGTAGTGATGCTTCTGCACAAGCAACAGGCGACGTAGTTCGTCCAGGCACTCATGGGCTCTTGCCTCTCGCATGTCAAATTCGTAGCGTGCAAATGCATGCTTGACCGTGCACCGAGATTCACCCACTAATTCTGAAGGTAGCCACAGCCTGGCAGTGAATGCCGGAGCTGGTGGGAGAGGATCCATTCTGCTAGCAGCAGCAAGCTTGTCGGCGTCTGCCTCCCGAATAGCTGTGACCTCAGGGATAAAAGTAGCCTGTGTCGCAAACCAGCTGGCTATCTTCCGCCAAAGCTTATTGCCCCGTTCCTGGATCAATGTCTTCTGTCGTGCGGTGGCGTGGATCCCGAGGGCCTTTACGTCGCTGGCAAGTGCTCTCTGCTGCTCTCCTAGCTGCATTCCCATTGCAATCATCTCTGCCACGTGTAGATCCCCACGGACCTCATCACTGTCATCGCCAGCGAGTATCGCCTGCGTCTCCGCTGCAATTCGACCCCGAACTGCCTGAAGCGACGCATGCTTCTCTCCAACAGCAAACGGATTTGGCTCTGATGCATCCTTCTCCCATCTCTCCATCTGTGTGACCCAGGATGCCAGTGTGTCCTGCGGAAGCGACTCCTCTATGTCGCGCAGCTCAATGCTCCGATTCACCATCTGGGGTATAGCGTCCTGCATGTGTTTCAGGAGCAGCTGCCCCATCCCCAGCACCTTCTTGTGGTTCCAGTCGTTGAAATGGTTGTCAATGTGATCTCGGCGCGATCCTGGACCCATCTCACGAGTGCTTGCTGCCAACGGATTTGTGTTTGACCAGCCACGCTCCGGTGCTTCACCGTCTGTTCGGCCAACAAACGGTGTCAGGTCAAACGAATACAGGACGTTGCACGCTTCGATATGGGCCGGCAGATGGAACTTGGGGATCAGCCACAGAAAGAACCGCTCCCCGCTTCTGGCTCGCTCCTGCAGGCATGGCTTGTATCGTTTCAATCGCTCCCAGATGTTGAGGCTCCACTGACACACAATATCGTACGAAACCACAAGCTGGACTAGCTCATCATAGCCATCCAAGCTCTTCCACAGGGCATAGTCCATGTTGATGTATCTTTTGCAAGAATGAGTAACGCACAAGTGCTCTAAAGTAACGCTCACCTCTCTCCTTTCTGCAGGTCTACAACACCATTGGGACGCTTCATGTTATGGCGAGCGCAGTCTACCGTCCCTATTCCAGAGGATGCTGTTCCTCGAGCCTCGCGATTTGGCTCATTGACAGCATCATGGGACACACATCTACTCTTCTACTGAGAGACATCAGCAGTGCAGAATGGCTATGTGAGCAACGCACCTCCTGCTCTGTATCCCAGTGGGCTCGGACGTGCTCCATATACTCATCAATTTGGCTGTAGAAGGCGCACCCTTGATTCAGATCGGGATCTACCTCTTCCGAAGACACTGCCTTGCGCTTCATGCGGAAGTTCGCGTCTATTGCCAAGAACAGCGCATAAAGGAAACGGAGATGGGGAGGAGCAGCTCGCCATGACCCATCTTGTGGAAGGTTCTTCCCTGGCTGTGGACAGGCTGGACACAGGACCGCGCACGAGCCAGCTGGAATGTTTCGGCAGCCGGCTGTTTCATGAGCCCGCCCGAAACGCTTGAGCATTTGAATATGGGCCCATTCCCGTGTCATTCGAAGGAACTGACTGTAGCGGTCCTAGGTTTTGAGTCAGATTATTGATTGAGGGTCATGACATCTGGATCACATACCCGGGGCTGAAAACTGCCGCTGTTGTTCGTCATCCGGGCCAGTGCATTGTAGAATTCGTAGGCAGAGCACTTGGTTTCAAATGATAACAGTTGGTAGCCTCGCAGGACTTCAAACGTTGCAGCGCTAGCGGGACGAAGTGTTGTTGCGGGGTATAGCTTGGAGCGGAGAAGCTGGACAGAGTGCATGGGTGCACCGGCACATTCACAGTAGTCTAGATTGACTTCGTGAATGCCGTTTGAATGCACAATGCAGAAGGTGGTGGTCTTATCTAGGCGAGGCGCAGCACATCTGTCAGCGCCGGCGTGACCGATCTGGATCCGTAACCCAAGGCTAGCCAGCGAGGTTCGTTCAAAGCACATGCCATCCCAAGCCTGTGCTCTCTGCGTCAGTACCCTGTGGCTGAAATCTGCAGGCATGATCATCGTACCTCAATGTGGTGTAGCGGATGCTCCCGATGGCGAGACACCAGGCACGACGAGCAGAACAATGAGCCCATAAAGCATTGCTCACAGCGGTGTGTCCCATCAGACTTCTTGCAGGCATTGCACGGTGTGAAACCGCTGCCTGTGTTGTCCCCTCGCCCAGCTGACCGCAACAACTCATCCACAAACGTGGGCATCTCCTCCTCAAGCCAAATCCTCAGGGGGCGATCCTGCTTCCGAGATGAGCTCATGCAAGGTGAGCAGATCAATTGTTGCTCGCACCGTATCTCGTGGACGTCGAGGGTGCTTGTCCGGAGGATGCCCCTCATCGAATTCAAATTCTGCCCCCAGGTCGTTCCCCCCCTCGTTGAAAAGCTCAGGCAGAGGTATGAGCGGTGGATCATCATGCAACAGGCTGTCCCCCCAGTCTGCTGCTCGCTGTCGTTTCCGTGGTGAAGCTGAGCTCTGGAGGAACGTGGTCTTGCGGAAGAGGCTGGACCCAGAAATGGTCGTGTCGTGTCGCATCATCGAAGCCGCTGGCTGGTAGGATCGGGCAAGGGACACAGTGTCAAGCTCATCGTCAGAGTCGAAGATGTGTGTGGAGAAGGTGGCCTTGGTACGACGGGACATGAGTGGCCAGAGCAAGCACGCGCATCGCGGTAAATAGGCACGATCATGTGCTCAATGGATCGCGATCACGGGTGCTTGATCTCTGGACTGAATTCACGCGCGATGGAAGATGAGCCTGCAGATCACCAACATGTTTGAGATTCGGGCTCCAGCGCAGAGGTCTTTCCTGTGGGCAATTACAGAATCTACGCGCCAGGGTTGAAAGAAAAATCTATTTTTGAAACTAAAAAAAACTACCCTAGGAGTTATTTTCTTTATTCACTTTGAAACCGTGTTGTAGAGCGAAGGTTCCTACACCGGAGCAAAGGACCGGCAGGCCTCACCGTTGCTCTTTGGCGCTGAGGAAGTGCGCCGGTCTCAGCAGACGGGGTACCGGGAGGATTGGGGGCAGAGGATGAGGCAGCAGTTCGGGCACTCGATGGCGCGGCTAGCGAGGGATTGACGGGGGGCTCCTGTCGTCGTGGGGGACGCCCGCCCGTAGACATCCTCGCCGTTGTTCGCTGGCGTCTACCGGTCGCAACAGGCGGGGTACCGGTCGCAGCGGGCAGGGCGCTGGGAATTCGGGGGGCAGAGAGCAGGACTGGTGCGGCGCTTCGGGCACTCGATGGCGCGGCTAGCGAGGGATCGACGGGGGGCTCCTGTCGTCGTGGGGGACGCCCGCCCGTAGACATCCTTGCCGTCGTTCGCTGGCGTCTACCGGTCGCAGCAGGCGGGGCACCGGTCGCAGCGGGCAGGGCGCTGGGAATTCGGGGGGCAGAGAGCAGGACTGGTGCGGCGCTTCGGGCACTCGATGCCGCGGCTAGGGAGGGAGCGACGGAGGGCTCCTGTCGTCGTGGGGGACGCCCGCCCGTAGACATCCTCGCCGTTGTTCGCTGGCGTCTACCGGTCACAACAGGCGGGGTACCGGTCGCAGCGGGCAGGGCGCTGGGAATGTGGGGGGCAGACGGCAGGACTGGTGCGGCACTTTGGGCGCTCAGTCTCGCAGCTGGAGACGGATCGGCAGGGGGCTCCTGCCGTCGTGGGGAACGCCCACCCGCGGACATCCTCGCCGTCGCTCTCTGGAACCCACTGGCCACAGCAGGCGTGGCGCTGGGAAGGTTGGGGGTGGAGGGCGGGAACGGCGCGGCGATTTGGGTGCTCG